GTCCAGAATCCTCGAGCACTGACGTCCACACGGGCTTCGTTAGATGTGTTTGAAGTCCTGTGTTGGAAGATCACACCATCCAATGGAAGGAGGGTCGGTTCTACCATGACATCCCGGCAGATTTCCTTCAACATATTTGCTGTGAGATCCCTTACCTCGTCATGCCTCATGCATATGAAGCCCCCCTTCTTGCACACCATAGCGTGATCGCCATCATAGGAAGAGCCACACGCGCATTGGGAGGGCAAACCTTCTACTGGCCGACCGTACCTTAGAGCAATGGCATCTGTAAATTCATTTTTATTAAGACTGAAACCATTTGCCCTTATCGGTAACATAGTTAACTAGTTCGAGGCGCCCACCTCCTGCGCTATAGCTATTTTTTTTGTCAAATTTTCTGGAACCTGCAGCAATAGTTGCTGCAACACGTCATTTTGGCAGTGCTGCCGATCTGTTGTAATGGACCTACGGATCTTATTAACTTCGCTGGTGTCCACTTCCCCTGTTGCATTCTGGGCTATTATGTGGTCAGTGAGGGCTGCCGTGAGCTTAAGTGAATTTTGATGTTCAGAGTCAGCAATCTCCTCTGGATTAGTTAGTCCCATCCCTCCCAGTCTTGGTGGAAGTGCAAGAAGTGTTCTTTCTGCTCGGGTTAAGTCAGGGTGTTTCACTAGTTTGGGAATGAACTTGACACTGATTGCTTCTTCCAAAGGGTGGAGGAGGGGTCCGATCTCAGGGATGGTACGCATCAGGTAGTTCCAACGATGCTTGACTCCATGGGTGAATGCTGCAAAGGCCGCATGTGGCTCTGTGTTAGCAATCTCCGATAGAGCTTGGATTTCGCTAACCCACTCATTCACCTTTCCCGCTACGTACTGGGTCTTGAAGTCCGTAGTGCCAATTACTGCGCCTAGATGTCTTTGGCCGTCCTTAGTTATTTTGACCTCACTTTCGCCGAAAACCTCCAAAGCCCGATCATAATGATCTGGCTTCACGATGAGGAAGGATTTGCTGGCGTTTGGGTGGTACCCTATTTGTGGACCTCGCTATGTTACCAGGTCCCACCACTTTTTGATGTCCTCCACTTTTCCTGCTCCTGTGAGGTCATCAGCATATGCCACTTGTTTGACCCCAGTTGTTTCAAACTTTGTGTGTGTCCTCTGACAAAATAGATGTGGTATTATTGCCAGTATTTGAAGAGCTAGGGGGGCGAGGAAGTGGTCCTGAGTGTAATCAGTCATGAAGAAAGTCATCTCCCGAATCATTTCTTTGGTGGCCGCACACTTGGGTGGTTCAAATAAGTTAACGGGCGACCACTTGACAATTTCTGAGTAGGTTTCTTTGACCCATACGCCTGCATTTTCCATCGACATGCCTTTCCACTGAGGCGGCAGTCTCTCATTCTCCTCCTGGACACCTGCTACTGAGGGGGCAGCATTTATTAGTACTACATTTTCGGGTTGAGTAGACTCACTGCTATCATTTGGGATATCATCGGGTGGTTGGGTCCCGGCGATATCCACTGTGGCCGCCTGTGTCGGCTCCCTGCCACGTGGGTTCCGACACTGGTCTAGCTTCCTGCAATCCACACATGATCGGTTGTTTCTCGCACAAAGACAATTTGTGCAGTTTTGGTTCGGGCTAGCACAGACGCAGCAAAGACTGTTGCCAGGCATAGTGACCAGCACCTTGGGCGACAGATATTTCCGCCTCCGACCTCTGCTATTGGGCCCATACGGACGAAGAAACTAGATCTTATGCGTATGAGGCACAGAGGTGACGGCCTGGCCTGCGGTGTCCGAGTAGTAAGGGCATACGCGCGCGTGTGGTTGTGTCGGGCACCCCCCATGTGGGCGATAATCCACACATGAGAATAATCCACTGGGAGCAAGAATTGTCACACCTAACACTTGATTATGTCACTTTGGTAGAGATAGCCACCATTTCTATGATCTCGCTGATGTAACATTAGTTATATATACTCACTTGGTCAGCCGACACTACATGGAGTGGCCGTTACTTGAGGCGACTGAAAGCGCGAGGCACTTGGCCCCATAGGGGCGAGAGTCGCGATGCCACCCTTGCTAGGGTAGGCCTATCGACACACTGGCACTGACACTTGGCAACTCCAGCCACCCACCATTCAAACACTCACAGGCTTATTTGAAGATCGCCGGTGAACACGAGCAATATTTGCGTTTAATTTCGTAAGGAATTAGAAGAGCCGTCGGCGATGATGCTCAAGGTGACATCCAACGTTCATCGACACACTGTGAAATTCTCGCTCCCACAAACTGAGTATATCCCCACCAATAACACTTTAAATCAGGGAAGGCACCCCAACACACCCACGCCGCCCGGACCTCCTACTACTACTACTACTACTACTACTACTACTACTACTACTACTACTACTAATGCTACTACTACTACTACTACTTCTACTATTACTACTTTTTTTTAAATGGCCTCGAGCCTCCCCCAATAGCCATTCCTTCGCCACCATTTTATTACCTTAATACTACTACTACTACTCTACTACTACAACTACTACTACTGTAACTCTCTTACTCTTACCTTACCACTACTGTCACTGCTGTTACTATTACTACAACTATGAATAAATATATAAATAAATTTAATATATAATACAAAAAAAATTCACCCTAATCATACAGCATTTGGCTTGGCTATTTTCCTTAACACATTTCTTTTGCCAAGGATCACAAATTTCTGATATTTATAGAGACACCTTCAGAAAAGTAATGTAAGCAGCGAGAAGACTCAGTTAGTGTCAAGAGTGATGACTGTTAAGCGTAATGTATTCTACATGTCAAAGCTGCTGAAGTCATTACCTATTCACACGTTGAAGGTCTCTCTTCTGTGCCGTACCTTAGGATTTTACCGTAAAGCTGACACAGGAAGTTGTCTATGTTTTATCTGTCCTCTATGAAATGAATGAGGGATTTTTTCTAAAGCTTTATTGTTCATCTTGTCGTGCACAAAGAACTTTTTCAATAAACCATTAATTATTTTTATTATATATTTGAACATACAGTTGAAACGGAATGGATGAGTAATTTTTGTTTTAAATATGAAGCGCATGTAATTATTTCCTGCGGTAACATAGGACACATCAGACTCACCAGCTGTGACCCTAATATTATCATAGGATATACAGTATACGGGACTATGGCGCGATAAATCTCCCTACGTGAAAACATTGGGAGATGGATGAATCAGACTACACCTGTTATAACCAAGAATAGTTTATTTAGACCGTAAACTAATACTTATTCAGTATAGTTATAAAAAGTATATAATGAGGACCTTTCGTTCTCACTCAAACATTCGGTCATTCATTTATTCAGCTGTGAATGGTTTCTTAAATTGAGGAAGTTAAGGTGATCGAATGAAGAGCCGCCAACACTGCGGTCTTATCCACAGATTAAGAAACAACTATTTTCCTGTTTTGGCCCCATAAGAAAATTGATCGTTCCGGGTTGTATTATGTGCGCCTGTCTAGATACAAGGATAGAATTCTTCAGCGAATGTTGGGTCGAGTTGTGGACTTATTTTCATAGCTGTTGAATACGGGGAGTTAAAGTATCATAATTATTACCACTAAAAAGGGATAATCGCCTAATGATGATAATTTTTTTTTATTGTGACTGATCATAGACGAATATGTAGGTAGGTTTACATGAAGTGTCGTAGAAAAGCTAACCTAACCTAACCTAACCTAACCTAACCTAACCTAACCTTACCTGACCTTACCTGACCTTAACTAATATTATCTAGCTCTTATTAATTATTTTGTTCGTTTTAAAACAGGATGATCATCATGGGTGATATATTATTATATTTCAAAAATGTAAATGTCAACAAAACTCGGATAAAAACAATTCAATATAAAGTTAATTAAACCAACAGTGAAGAATTAAACGAAAAGATAAAAACAAAGATTAAAGTAATAAATGTAAGGAAAAAATAACTAAATAAATTCTGAAACTATTTACATATATTTCCATGTTATTTATATTGTGTTCGTGTTTATATTATCATCTCGACTAAGTGTTTCAGTAATTTTTTTTATAATAATTACTTATTCTATCCCAAATGTCAGCATATAAGTGGTTTAATGAATACGAAAAAAGCAAATAAAAATCTTAACTCATTGTGTTATCTTAGTTCTATATATTGTGTTATCTTAGTCCTTCGATAATAATATAATAGCTTCCATGATATTGTCCCTGTAATTAAGCTAGTTTTTTCTGGCCCTTCTCAGTTACGAGTAACATGACCAACTAAAGTCACAAGTGAAGACCTTAAGACCTTACCATCTTGAAAGTAAGTAATTAGGTGATAAAGTGGTGTACCTGGCTGCCCTCCTCAAGGTGCCACAGGCCTGCTAACTGTACACGGGGTACACAGATGCGTGTGCCTGGTGGCTCATTTTGTCCACGATGTATTCACTAAAACTTGAGATTATTGTTGATTATTAGTCTATGCACTGTGAGCCGTATTGCCTGTAGGGTGTATATTCTCTTTCACTGTCTCTCTTTTCGTTCCTGTCATTTAGGGTCCGAGTGTGTGTGTGTGTGTGTGTGTGTGCTCCATATGTATTTCCACAGTTTCTACGATAGAGAGCTGGAATTTGGTAGGGAGGTGCGAATGGCCTAAGGGATGGTCCCTCCACCCGGGTGTAATCGGGTAACTCAATTAATCAAAAACGTAATCAAGATTTACTAAATGTTTCTTCTCTGTTTTTTCCCTTGAGGTAATATCCGCAGTGAGACTTTATTCACTTACTTTTTAGGTGTAAAATTCAAGTATAGAATATATAACTCCGTTGATGGACCACGACACAAAAAACCACATTAAGTCAGCAGTGTCCTTAACCTTGAGCGGAGGTCAGTGCCGAACTCCGCAGTGCCACCTGCTAGCATGTACAGAATAACAGGTGTTTGGGTCAACTGCTCCCTTTATAAAGACACGCACCATCTCAGGAGACGAGTCAGGCAAGGCTTCAGGTTGTGGAATCACGGCGCACTAACAAGACCGACACTGAACTACAACACAGCAATACCTAGTCACAGCCAGAGCAGTAGTGTGGCGACGTGAACTGTAGTAAGATATGTCGGTTTGTCACCCCTAAGTATGAACAGGTGCACTCCCCCTTATCTAAGTATTTCAGAATGTTGGATGATTGTGTTGAATATCAGAGAAAGACAGAGTAAATGATGTCCTTTTCCCCGGGCGGTTTGGAAGAATGTCATCGGAAATCATAATGATCCGGTAAAGGAAGATCAGTAAACCCTCGCTCATTCTTTATTACGTTTTGGAATATTTCCTTGTATTAGTAATAGTTCAACTGTTCTGAATTCTCCCTTCCCTCCCAAAACAGATTTGCAATTCAGATTTCGGGTTAAATTCAACGTTTTTACTTTATATTTTACATATTTCTTGTCGAAATTGAATGTAAAAAAGTTTTATAGAATTACCTAAAAATAATTGAGAGAATTCCAGACACATTGACGTCGTTAAACGTTCGCAAAATAAAGAGTTAATTTAATTTGTAAATTTTTGATTACACAACAAATATATTTTTTTCCGCCAGATTAACTTTTTTGTTTTTACCTTAATCTGTCCAGAAAAATACAACAAAACAATCTATCGTACAGTCAACCACCAAACTCCTGTCGCCTCTCCTGCTTTTCCACGAACCCCGAGATTCAGACTCGTGAATTTGAAGCATTTATGGAAAGAATAATGTATCAGTGCCTGAATCTCGGGGTACGTGAAACAGCAGGAGAGGCTACGGGACTTAACGAAATAGTTCAATATTCTTATCAGACTCATCATTATGGGTAGTAATAGATGGAAAGAATAAAGACAACAGTGCTTCAAATACAACATAACTTTACGTTAATTACGTGTGAAATATTTAAAGATAAATACTTAGATCCTGTAAACCAGAATTCATTGACAATACCAAAAATATAAACAATATCGATATAAACTGACCATATATCAACTAACAATAAAGACTGCCTTACATCATGAACGGAAAATATCCTTTAATTGGTATATTGTAATCTATATAATTTTCTCTATAACATATGACAATAATTAAGTGATATATTGTAATCTATATAATTTTCTCTATAACATATAACAATAATTAAGTGGTATATTGTAATCTATATAATTCTCCTTTGAAGGCATGATAAATTTTCTATACCCAACAGCACTTGAGAGGGACTTAAGGGCAAATGGTAGCAGTCACCATCATGCTGAAGTACGTGTGTCTTCTCCTAGTGTTGGCAGGGTGTCACGCCACGGTGAGTCCTCGTATACACACACCTATATGTATACTGTATACTCTCCAACACACAGTCTACCTATACCCCAAAACATACATAAACAATACCAGGATAATACTTTGTTCAGTGAGTGTATAGGGTTTGAGCTTTCCGATAGTTAATGTCTCGTGAAAACAAACCTTAATGTTGCCATTTGGTTAACGTAAATGCAAAAGAGATATTGCGACGTAATACCAATATGATATTCAGTCATGTATTTCAGATAAATATAAAATTGTGTTTCCTTGTATTCTGAATTCTGGATAATGATTCTCTTTTCTGGTTATATCGTGGAATTTTGATTTACATTACGTTAAACAACATCGAAGTTGCATGTGAGTTAATTCCATATGAGTAACATACACACACACACACACACACGCACACACACACACACACACACACACCTTAACCTCTGAAGAAGATATTTAACATGAGACAAAAGCCCCAACTAGGAAGTAAACAGTAGTAACGTTAGTAGATATATTAACTAGATATTAATAGATGACTCGGCTGTGTCCAGGAGAATGTGGAGGATTTCGAAGGAGTGGATGACCTAAGAGACCACCTACTGAAGCTGCAAAGGATGGATGAAATGCGCGGAATGGCAGACACGGCGGAGAGTGACAACGCCGAGAAAGTGAGGGACGACAGCGTGAGTGACATGAGGGATATGAAGGATATGAAGGAAATGATGGATATGGAGGAAATGAAGGAGGAATTGAAGACACAGACACAGAGAGGCCAAGAAATGCGACATTCAACAAATGGAGACTGCTATAACTCTACTCACTGTTGCCCCGATAATAATCAAAAGTAATGTTGTACATAATTTTTCACATGTGGGTTCCGAGATTCGAACCCGAGCCAGAGCATAAAAAAAACTATTTTGACTTAATTTTCACAATTTTTACGGATACGCTGAATAAAATCTTAAATTAACAACAAAAATCAAGCAAATGGTGTTAATGACCTTTCAAGTAATTAAATTCATTACAGTTTCTGTAATTAATCAATTCGTGTATGTTTCAGATGATATTTATAAGCATTTTCTTGTATGTATGTATGTATGTTTGTATGTATGTATGTATGTATGTATGTATGTTTTTATGTATGTATGTATGTATGTATGTATGTATGTATGTATTTTGTATGTATGTCGTCAGTGTTTCAACAAGTACTTACATGTAGCTTTCTTACGTTTGTGGTCTAATGTTCTTTTTTTTTGTTTTTTGCTTTATGTTGGGCACTCCCCTACATCCTTGTGTAAGGTGAAGCGCAGAAGCGTTTACAGAGCCTAACAGGGAAGCATGCTAAGTTCATGCTTGCCTTTATGTATTATGAGTTAAGGGCGTAGAAGCGTGAAGAGTCAAGGGCGTAGAAGCCTGAAGAGTCAGTGGTTTATGTCATCAAGTTATTTGAAGCTCCAACAACTTAACCTGAGTACGAATTCGCAACTTTCGATTTACACCAGGTACCTACTTTACTGCTAGGTGAACAGGGACTAATGGGGGCTAGGCAGTAAGTCCAAACAACTTCCATCGGCCAGGGAATCAGACCCATGACATCGCGCTTGCGCGGCAATATTGTGGTCTGATGAGTCAGTCTTAAATACAGAATTTAATCCCGTTTTCTTTCACAGCACATTCTGCAAGAGTGTCTTGGGTGGCGAATGTTCCAAATAATATACAAGCGTTGCGACTATACCTTCAAGGACCCGTCCTCTGTACTTATTCCAACTGTTCCTGTTGTGTTGGTAGGTATATAGTTATATATTGTGTATTGTTTAGTATTGTATCTCACGTGGACGATACTATAAAAACATAAGTAAATTCGATAGTATTATGATCCATTATGAAGGGTTTGTGGGTTAATATGGCGGATAGGTCTTGTGTTCCCCAGCTCACAATCAGATATACCTACCTATAATGTGTTAGACCTCGCTATATTTACCTTATATACCTTAGTACCAAATATTCTCACCATTATTATTATTATTAGTAGTAGTAGTAGAGTAGTAGCAGTAGTAGTAGTAGTAGTAGTAGTATTAGTAGTAGTAGTAGTAGTAATAGTCAGTAATAAAATGGTGGCGAAGGTGTGGCTATTGGGGGAGGCTGGAGGCCACGTAACATAAAAAGTAGTATTGTAGTAGTAGTAGTAGTAGTATGAAACATTTAATATATTGTTTTCTTCCATACAGATTGTAACAGTGGGAACAAATGTTCACCGTGTACAGAAGTTGGGGCGCGGTGCAGGAAGCGCTGCTACTTTTATGAGTATGAACATAAATGGTTGCAGTGCCATAGCCGAGAGTTGTTGGTGAGTTGTTTACATGTATTAATTCCCTTGTAGATTCCACAGCGCCTTACAGACTCCCATAGTGCCATATAGACTCACCTTCATTCAACAAGGTATGCTCTAAGTGTATGAAGATGTGTTAATACGACGTTCAATTTGTTTTTCTTTGTAGTTGCTGCAAGTGGTGTGACCCCACTACTGAGTGTAGGGCGGGCTAACTACGGCTTCTGTGTCACCGACTGGTGTAACTGCAGATGGACGTCCTCCTACATCAGTAGTGCAGGCTGCAAGGATGGCCATTGTCTATGTTGCAAATTCTGTAGACCCGAAGTGTACGTACATTGGGGGCTACTGTGTGAAACCTATCAGCCGTGAAGATGGCTACGTACCCTTCAAGTGTGGCTGCAATGATTACAGAAGGTGTTGGTGCTGTGTGCCGAGTAAAGAAGCGGTCTCCTATTGTTTTGTAGTTGATATAATGGCTTCTAATAATTTACAGTGATATTATGTTTGGTGTAATAATATCATAGTTGTATCTTGAGGTAAATAACAAGTAAATAGTGTTTAATGTTTGTATTTATTGTTAAAAGTTGACTCTATATATTGATACTAAATCAATTTTAATATTTGATTTTGTGGTCATATATTTATTTATTCTAATGACAGTTATACAACGACAAGTATGCCAGTAGACATATAGTTCCTATCTCACACACACACACACACACACACACACACACACGCACACTTTTTTATTTAATTCTATTTTAACAATGATTAATTTATTTTCAGTAAACAAGAAGGGACTGTTTGGTAACTGCCCAAAACAAGAAAGCTCCGGAGGCAAAACTCCAACAGTGATCATTGACCCCACCATCCCAAGTACAACTACACCTGCTGCTTAAGACTAACTCTACCAAGTATAGTCTCATTGGTGACACAAGACATCAAGACAACATTCCAGATGTTACTTAGATAAAACTTTCCTTTTGCATGTTAGCATTTTAGCTGTGCTTATTGTGTTCAAACCCTTGTCCTGACTGACCTTACTGGTGGAAGTTGATTCGTGTGTTATTTTTCGAGTGTGGTTTAACGTAGCATATTAGTTTATTCAGAGTAAATCTTTGTTTTATCATCCACTCTTTATAAAACGATTTCTTTACAGTTAGTTTTGCACATCTATATTTACTATTAACAGTATTCTTTCACCTCCAGTTTTTATTATTTTATTTATATTTTATTTATTAGTTTCTTGGGATAGTTATGGTTATGTAGAATTATTCATTTTCTTATTCTTCTTTTCATAAAAATATAAAGTTAGTAATCTTTACCTCCATCTAGTAGAAGTGTAAGAAACATCAATCATTAAACTGAAAGATATTGAAAAAATCTGTATTTCTCTAAGACACCAAAAAGATGGAAAACAAACACTTGAAAAAGGTAACTGAGCAGAGAATCTATTAGAGCGATAGGGTAAAATTTCCTGTTAAAACTAGCAATTAGGATATACGTAATCATCCCTATATTAATATATCCTATATCATGTTCCAATCCTGATCTCTTTCCATGTGTATCAAAACGCTAGT